GAGGGCTTCTTGCGAGGCTTTCTTTGTCTTTTTTTTTTTTTTCCTTACTCGATGGCTGTGACTTGGCACGTTTGCGAAGCTTACATGTGTTATGTGGCAGTCTCGCGACCGCATTACGATCATGTCGAAATCCATTTTCGATCTTCGTGGAGTTTTGGCTGCTTGTGTAACCGTTTTACTCATTTCCTCCAAGACAGTCAGCATTAGGTTTAAGTAGTTGCCGTAATGCAAAGGGTCCAAGGGACCTATCTAACACACACGGAAAACATCCATGAGACTAAACCGACTGATTCTCCTCTACTTCTCTACCTCTCCAGGCTTAATGTTGCAAACCTTACTTTACGTACCGGATGGAAAAACATAATACGCGAGGAAACGTGTGAAGCAAGGTTTCGTTGCTTTGTCGCAGGGGTTCATCTCGGTGTGGATGAGGCTCCGAGGGAAACCTTGACTCGGCCGATACCGTTGTGCTGCGCGTGCGAGCTGGGGAGGTGCGAAACAGAGGGAGCTTGAGCATTTGTTGTTTTTTCCCCCCCTTGGTAGTCTTCGTCTTATCTTATTGAGCCGAGGTCCCTTCAGCTTTAGCATCCCATCCGATGGTTGGATTTTTTCCCATTTGCTATAACCTTGTTTGATCGATTTTGTAATTTGCTGGTTCAAAAGCGGCCAGTGGAGATTAGGCTTCCTGAATTCGGGAGGTCTGAAGGCCTCTTTCAGTCGGGGATCTGAGGTTCAGTTCAAGACGTCGCTGATGACTACTACGAGTGGTGTAGTTGTTGTTGATAGTACCAAAGTGGCCAAGGGAACGATTAGACAGCTACCTCGAGGATTAAGGATACTGAAGGTGAAGCTAGTCCCGATGATCTACTTGCTTTTTGATATTGGTGTGATTTTGTTCGTCGTAGGATGGTTACCTCTCGATGTCCTGAATCGGCGTCAGGCAGGATGCATGTTGCTGAAGTATGAATTGTGCCTCTCGTAGTACTCCGTCGGTTTATCCACTGCTTCATAAGCCATGTCTCTTTTGATGAATTGTGAGTGTACTTGTGGTCATAACCCTTCACCATGTCGTGTCTTTGGGATTGTTCAGTATTTCGTAGTCAAGCTGATACCACATTGTAGGAACGGCAACGCAGAGGAGAAACCCAGGACCGAACTCGATGATCTAATCTCGATCAGGGGAATTCGTCATCACAAAAAGAGCGAAAGAGATCCTTTCGTCATTTGCGGAACATGGTTTTTCAAATCAGTTTGATCCTCTTTCTGATTCAAGGTTCCCTGATACTACACATTAGTTAGCCAGCTGCACGAAGAAGAAACGGTGTGTCAAGTATCTACGATGAACAACCGCATAGCCACCAGGTCAGAAGCAAGTGTTGGGAAGAATAGCTCTAGCTCACTTAAGCTAAAATATCGATGGCATTATGATCCTAGTAGGTAGATAACAGTATAATCTAGGCGTCAGTCCTCGCCAAACCAAATATGTCATAGCCAAACATCACTGATAGCCATACGGAGATCTTGCCCACGCATCTCATCCTAATGATGCGGAACCCCTTCTGAATCGTAGGTCGGCCGCGTTGCGGCTGTGGTAGTGGCCGTGGCCATGCCGTCCGGTCTTCAAAGGCACATCCACCGCAGTTGACGCGGGCTTGGCGTCCGGGTCTGTCGCGCATGAACCCTTCCGGGGCCTTCCGTCGGCCGTGTATCAAAGTCCATCAACGGGCACAGTCTCCAGCGTCGTGACCACGGCTGGAATTACCACGCCTGCTCCAGCCGAAAGCCTTCACACTCCCCATGGGATCGATCTGGTCGCTGCTGGCGCCGCCCGTCCACATTCCTGCAGAGGTTATTCCAGACCTGACCCCGCGCCGCCGTTCTCAGACCCGGAACCCATCGAACCAGCTGTCCAACAACGGGTCATAACTTGAGTTGTTTTAACAAATGAGAAGATGAAGAACTTTGTTTTCCAGATGTCTCGCCTAACGAGCCTTGGCGGCGACTTCCTCGAGTGAACTCGGCCTCGCACGCACCCATGTTGGTGCCTAATATAAGTACGGAGGCCATCCCCTCCCCAGTGAAGAGGTGCTGGGTTGGTTCCCCTCTCGGCGGGAAGACATTTCCCCCCCCTCTCTCTCCCTCAAAATGGCAGAACCGTCGTACTCGAGAAAATGAGCTCGTCTCGGAGCTCACGTCGTACTATCAATTCCTGACGCAGCTCTTCCTACCGCCAGAGGTCGTCCAATTCCCTCCCGAGGGCGGCTGGGAGCACATCACACCCGAGTTTCGTCAAATCCTTTCTGCCTCGGCGAGAACGACACCGTGGCGGACCTAATGAAGCACATTCCCTACGTCAGCCGTACCAAGGAGGACCACTGGGACCAGCCGTGGATGGTCTACGAGGGGCGCCACCACTGTCGATTTCCACTGGTGACGTCGTCCTGAGCCTGCCCACAAAGTACGCCAACGAGTGGCTCTTTGAGCCTGAGGAGGGCAATATCTCGACCGCGCCCCTTCCGGCCCCATGTGTTTGTTTACGCGACCATCCCGTCCGGCCGCGACGGTCATTATATCCTCATCGACAAGGAGCGCGGCACAATCATCCTTGTGGATCCCCAGACTGGTCCGAAGCCGACCAAATTATCAGATCCTGTAAGTCCTCCCTACGACGCGACTTTCCCATCTCCCAATGCCTGAACACGCTCCTGACCTCGCGATATACAGAAAGCACCGGATGAAGAAGCTTGGCGCAGATTTCAGACCTACACGTTTCACGAGTTTTTCGCCATGGCCAAGGAAAAGTTCAAAAAGTTTGAGATGGTATGTGCAATCTCCATGATAAATGCTACTATTATCTTGATGCTCATAACAACACAGACTGCCATGATCAGAACACAAGTACACGATAATTACTTCCGCTATCTGCAGTGTCTTTTCTTACTCCGCCTGCAGCTTCTTTGTGATCTCGAGGAACACATCCTGCGTCTATATAATTACTACCACATAAGTGTAACGGCCTCTATTTATTTTGATTTCACTACGTCCCCGTACGAGAAGGCCTAGCCTGTCAGGTAATGATATGGTTGTTTGCCACGTCCGTGTAGATCCTGTCTTTTATTCAATTACGACCCATTCGCATTATCTCTTGCTCTTACAAAGCACTATACGTCCATCCGTGTACATTCCATTGGGTGTATCCCTCTCCCGCCCCACTCTATCTGACCCAGCTCGGCTGAGAAATCTCGACTCTTGAGAATGTATCTCACTTCGCTCTGTTACATTGATAAATATGATGGACTTGATAGAGATGGGAAAATAGGAACGAGATCACGCCTTGTTGATGTCAAAGTTTGAGATACGGACATTATCAATATATTTGGTGTGATCCCTTAGAAGCCTTTGCGTCCCTTTGATAAAGATTCGCAAGATAGCTGTCTCACACAGTCACGAGGTTATTCGAAGATACTGATGAAGTTTCTTCGGACCTCACAGAGTCTGTTTCTAATGCTATCGTCCATAAGTCTTGGGGTTGTCAACCTAAAGGCTTTGCTTTGCCCCTCCTTAAATCATGCCAAGGAATCTAGAGACAAAGTATTTGCTCACGAATATAAACGACCACGAACCGGGACTGAGACTGGTTCAGAAGAAAACGAGCAGTGCCCGACGGTAGACGAATCCACCACGCCCCATCGAAGAGTCTTCTCCCACGTCTTTCCCTCATCCGAGTCAGAGTGACGAGCAGCAGAGATGGCCGCGCTACAGCTGCCCGCCACGGGCATGGCTCCGAATCGCAAACGACGTCTCTCCGTGACAATGAGAAATCCCATCATCAAAATAATTACCACGAAAACGCACAAAACCCCGAGTGGAGACCATCCGCAGGCTGTCACACCGGCAAACGAGTTCCCCTCTATTAATCGTACCATAGATTTGCCATCAGCTGAAGGGACATATACCTCCAAGTTGACGAGAAAAAAACTCTGAGAAATGAGCCAGTGAAGTCCACCTGAGAATGTTACCAGAGGGAATGAATAGCGGTACGGCAGTTGAAGGAAGTAGGTGTCTCGCTGGGCTCTTCTGCGTGTAGACGAGACGCGAAGGCTCTTTGCCTTTTTTTCGTTGCCGAACCTGTCCCATTCAGTAATCAGGGATATGCTGGTGTATTGGGCATTATAGGTGAAGTAAATAAGTGAAAGAATGATTTGAGGCGTGTTGACAAGCAGAATATTAGCAAGTATAGATCCTTGACTCATGTCACCCGTGTTCAGGATGGTCTTGGTCTGCATGGCGCCGAGACCAAGCTTTAAGATATCGCCGCCACCTGACATGTGATTCAGGCCTCCAACCAGCAAAATTGCACAGGCGATGATGAGTCCAAAGTACCTGGTAGCGTTGTCAGTGTGTTAATATAATGAAAGGAGGGAAACACAAGCATACAACAAGAAGCATAAAAACCAAGCCCCTGGGCTAACCGCGACAGACTTCCGTTGCGGTTTGAGATCATATTGTATTGAGCCTTTGGACCAATGTTGGGCAACAAAGTGGTCCTTGGACTTTAGGCACATATCTGCAGTCGACTCATCCTGATATTGAAGAAAAGAGGCCACTGCATCTCCGATGGTCATCAGAGGATCTTCTTCGCCCATCCCGAAGGCGACGAAGAGCATCAAGACGCCTTTGGCAAGGTTGAACGCCGTCACAGTCCAGCAGAGAGCGCTGCTGAAGAGGAGCTTGCAATGCTCTTCAGTCTTTTGGCTGTAACATTCATTGACGCTTGATCCCAGAGGCTTCCAGCCTCCCGACGTGGTTCGTAATTCGAGCAGATAATCCTCGCATGTCGAGTTACCAGCGAGTATGCCGGCAACTCTTTCACCGGATTGGCTGCACATCCATAGATATGGGTATCCCGAAATATCAAAGACCTCGGCCGTACGATTTTCGTCCTTCTTATCATCAGATACAAGGAGTAAGTTTCCTCGCGAGGACTGGAAAGCGACTCGTTAGGTGTCGATGCATCGTGTTGCGTCCATTTCCTCGACGTTATCGCCAAGAAAACCTGAGTACATGCTCTTCCAGTCGGCGCTGTTGAGTGCGCCATCGGTCTTGTTCTTTGAAATGTACGCATTCGTATTCAAGACGCTGTAGTTGTTCACTGATGTCGAGCTGAAGATAACGGAGTTGTATCTGATGATTGTTGGTCAGTAAGGGCTCCAAGGGGGGAGAAACGGTAAAAAAGAAGATGGGGGAGCGTAATAGGCATACTTACACCAGATGTAATGGAAGGGATGAAGCTGCAAGTAACACCCAAACAATCTTCTTCTTCCATGTGATGTTCCAAAAGTTTCGAACACTGGCGACCCCAACGTCGAGCCAGTGCTGTCTGGCGTGTGCATCGTCAATCTCTGGTCGGTTTGGTGCCATTAAGCACTGCATACAGTAATTACTACCCGCAAGAAGAATTATACCAAGGACGTTGATCAAAATATGGATTCCGGTATTCAGTGTTCGGATGGTTGAACAGTCCGTATCAAGAAGAATACCGACGCCATCACTTATCGTGTCACGTTTCTGGATGCTCGCCCATAGTGTGAATATAAAGTTGATGAGAAAGGTTGAGAAGGCTGCAATTGCGAAGTAAAATGCAGCTTGTCGCCATCGACTTTGGGAGAACTTGGATCTACCCGTCGTGATGGCCGTCGGTGACGTTGATCGGAGGAATCGCAGAAGAGCATGTTGGAATAGAGGAACATGAGCCAAGGCGGGATGGGAGATGAAAGGTCTATGATAGGATTGCAGATGCAGGGAAATTCTTTCTTCTTCGCAGCCTGATCTTTGATTAGCTCTACCAAGCGATCGAAGGCTGGTTTGGGATGCAGCATGCCTGCCCGGTTTCACCTCCGCGTAGGATTTGCTGACTGCAACCGCAGTAGTATGTATGCGCCTACCACTCAACGAGGCAGCCTCTCAAACCAGAGAAACCTACCTAAGGTACCTTAGGTAGGATATCATTTCAAGCATAGAATAAACCGGTAGAGACTGCCGACAGATATGTCACTCAAGCACCCGTCACTCTCATTTCGCACCCAGGGAAAGACCAAAGACATTTTAGAGCGGGAAATCTATTGTAATCGGTATGCTTACTTTTCATCTACTGTATGTTTAGATTCTCTTTCATGTCTTTTCAATTGTGATATTTCCATGCCGTAAATGCGACCAACCGTGCACCCATACACCAATATTTTTGTGATCCCTCATGATAAATACCCGGCCATCCTCAAATCTTATTTCATTTCCACTCGTTCATTTCCTCTTCATCTCGAAGATGCTTACACGAAGCCCTTGAGCACAGCAGCCTCAGCGTTAAGGATGGACGAGCCAGCGGCGCCAATGACAGTGTTGTGGCTAAGCGCAACAAACTTGATATCAAAGATTCCGCTCTCGTCCTCTCTAACACGGCCAACGCTGACAGTGTACCCCCTACCGAGGTCGCGATCGAGTCTCGGCTGCGGCCGGTCAGGCTCGTCGTGCACGAGGATAGGGCTCTGCGGCGCCGAAGGGCACCCCAGCTTCTGCGCCTCCGAGACATACTCGCGCAGCGCCTTCTTGACCTCCTCGGCTGAGGGCGCGGGGCGGCGCGCAAACTTGAGCGAGACGCAGGCCGTGTGACCGTCGAGAACAGGCACGCGGTTGCACGCCGCGCTGACCTTGAGCTGGCTCTGGTCCTCAAAGGCGGTGAGATCCGAGGTGATGGTGCCGAGGATCTTTTGCGCCTCCGTCTCGAGCTTGTCCTCCTCGCCCGAGATGAAAGGGACGACGTTGTCAATCATGTCCATGGACGAGACGCCCGGGTAGCCGGCGCCCGAGACGGCCTGCATGGTGACAACGGAGACCTGGTCGACGGGGCCGAAGACGGCTTGCAGGGCCGCGAAGGGGATGACGAGGCCGATGACGGCGCAGTTGGAGTTGCAGACGAGGAAACCCTTTTCGAGGTTGTGCTGCTTGCGCTGGTGGGGGATCAGGTCGAGATGGGGGAGGTTGACGGTGGGGACGACGAGGGGCACGAGGGGGTCGCGGCGGTAGTTCTTTGCGTTGGAGAAGACGGCGAGGTTGGCCTTGAGGAATTCCATCTCTGTTTTGCGGCAATGGTCAGTCCTTGTTTCTAGTTCTATGTGGGTGCAGTCCATTGCGGGCGTTGGGATAGCAGCACTTGGGGAAACTCACCAATCTGGCCGGCAACGTCAGAGTCAAGACCGCTGAACACAACGTCGCAGTCGCTGAACTCAGAGGCCTTGCACTCGCGGACGACGAGGTCGGCGACGGCGCCCATGGGCGAGGCTTGCTTCCACCTCACGGCATCGCGGTATTTCTTGCCAGCAGAGCGGGACGAGGCGCCGACAGCGACGAGCTTGAGGTATGGGTGCTGCGACAGAAGCAGGATGAAACGCTGGCCGACGGAGCCGGTGCAGCCGAGAACGCCTTGAGGTGGAATTTGAATTAGCTTCGGGTTGTTCGATACATCTTGAAAGGCGCCAAAGTTTGCAATCTCCTAACGTCGAGGTTTCCCGATGGCGGAAGGGGGCGATGGCGAGGTGGAGGGGCTAAAACGTACCGCACTTCTTGACGGGGAATTCGCCCATTGTGAAAGATGAAGAGAGCGGTATCGAGGGTATCAATTGTCGAAATAGAGGAGGAATTGGACTGAATCAGCGAGAGCCACAGGTTGGAGATAAATAGAGAAAATGGGCGGGTTGGCAATGTGAGTCAAGGGGAGAGTGGCATGTCGCCGGCGGCGCCCCGGCCCAATAATTTTTGGGGTGAGCGACCGACGTCGGTTGCACCCCGCCATGCCCCGCCATCGGAGCTTTGGCTGTCGGTGGACAAGACATTTCCCACTTCTACATATGGACAAACTTCAGTCCCCACACCCCACCACCTTAGCCAACGGGCCAACGATCGTCACCAAAGACCGGCCGGGATCTGACGAATCTTCAATTCAGCGTTCGGTGAATAAGACCCTGATCCAATTGGTTTCCCAACAGCTGTTATCATCGTGTGTCACCATTCCGGTCGTTCGATATGAGGCAATCCCCGGATCCCATCGCGGACTACTACGCTCTTCCGTGCTTGGTTTTTTGTGCCGCCTGGAATTCGTTGAACAACTCATGCATGGATTTAGAAGACGCCTTTTGCAGAAACAAGTCATGCGTTTATTGAGTTTCTTACTCTAACACTGAAACAATGAACCAACCAATGCTGCTTGAAAACATTCCCATGTGGTTCAGCCCCCAATGACCCAGCACCCTAACAAGGTGCCGTCACCAAAAAAATAATAATTCAGACAGATCAGATCACATCTGCGGCTGACACAGGCCGACCAAGCATCGACAACTCAAGGCCTGGTTGTTCGGCCGCTTCTTCGTTATTCTGTGGCGCGTTCTCATCAGGACCTCGCATTCTTCTTGCAACTTTCAGAGTATTGAATTGATCCAGATCTGGAACGAAGCAAGCGGCGATCAGGAGGACAGCGGAGAATGGGACGAGGGCGAGGAAGATCGATCGAAGTGAATAACTGTATCCGCTTTGAATTGCGTTGGTAATTGCAACCCTGGTAATTATGCTCAATGATGTGAATTCCGTCAAGTTGGTTTTTCCGTTCTTCGTTGCCTGCTCTTGGATGGTGGTGGCCAGTTGTTGCAGAATAGGAGCCGGCAGGATAGCGCTCAAGGCAACTGGAGTGACCGACTTGGTCAATTCCTCCTCCAGCTTTTTCCTCAACAACAAGGTTACCAATGTCCTTGCGAAGGCACAGCCCAAGCTACACATTGAGCCGAGGACTCCTGATGCGAGGCCGATATCTTGCGGTTCCCACACAAAGGTGACACCAGTGATGGCAACTGCAACAATGTGACCAAAAGCTGAGACGTATGTATCAGTATAAAAACTTCAGGGAACGCCTGGAAATCGCCGCAAAACTTACCAAAAGACGCAATTATTCCCACCAGAACGATTGGTCCTTGACGGCCATCGAACCATATAGTGCATAATGGAGCCATGAGAGTCAGGGCCACACCTGACGCTACCATGCACTGTTTTCTGAAGTGTTTACCACGTAGTGACGGAACAGCCGTCATGAATATGCCGAGGGTGGCACCAAAGGCCAGCAGTGAGACAGACCAAGCGATCGTGTGCGAGCCATTGTTGAAAACCTTCCCGATAACAAATGGCCAGAGGACAGTGAGGGCGTAGAAAACCATTGAGGAGAAAGTCGCACAAACAACAAGACTTGCGAACTGGACATTCTTGAACATCTTTGGTGGCATGAGAGGCTGTTCAGTGGTGGAAAATGCTTCTGCGATACGTTAGAAATATATCAGGATGTTCGAATGCGGTCCACTCTCACCGTATAGTACGAACAAGACAAGCGCTAAGAAACCACCGACTAGGGTTCCAATGACCTCCTTGTCAACAGAAGGATATGAGGAGATTCCCAAACAGAACCCGAGTAGCAACAAGACGCAGCCAGAGATGTAAAGGAAGATGCCGACAAAGTCCAAGTGCTTGATCATATCGAGCTTGGTCTTCCCAGCCACGTTAAGCTGCTTGAACGAAGGTGGGCGATAAAGTCCCAGATACAAGAGAAAGGAGACGAAAGCGAGAAAGGCTCCCGTATAATAGCCCCAACGCCATTGCACAGGACTGCCATCGTGTAAAACGGATGGGACTAAGGCAGAGCCCAAACCAACAACAAGGAATGGCAGCACAGAAGTTACGGCAACTGCTCTTGCTCTGGCGTTGTTCGGCACGAGCTCGGCCACAGCAACTCCAAGAGGTAGCTGGGCGGCAGCAGCCATTCCGTTGCAGATATTGGCGGCGATGAGCATCTCGGCGTTGATCGAAAAGGAGCCGAGGAGGCAGCCAACGACTCCAAGAAGAGAGGTTCCGACGATGATGTGCCTCCGTCCGTACAGGTCCGAAAGTCGACCGAGGAGGAGAAAGCCGATGGAGCTTCCCATGAACTACATGATTGGCGTCCAATGCACCTTATCCGTCTGAGGTAGGTCTGTATTGAACAACACACTATTGTTGGTCGTCAGTATGAGCCAAGGGGGGCCGCGTTGTGTTCATCATCATAGCACGTACCTCGTGTTCCCGGGTGCTACCCAACTCAGAAAAGCAGCCGTGATGGCCAATGACTGGGCCTGGATTGCATCAGTCAGATTTGGTGAACGGCATGACTGTGGGTCGGATTTACTCACCAGCATCACCAGCAAGACCCTGCCACTTTCTGACGAGATGGTAGTGCCTAAAGCGTCTCTGTCCACATTCCGGACGGTCCCATCAATGTGTGTTACCTGGAGATGGCTTCCCATGTTTTCGAAATCCCAACAGTCGTCATTTCTGTCAGGTTCTTCTCGAGAAGCCTGCTGCGCTTG